CCCAGCGCGCCAGCCCAGGCCAGCGATGACCACCGCACCACCGCCCAGCGCGCCAGCCCAGGCCAGTGATGACCACCACCCAGCGCGCCAGCCCCAGCCCAGACCAATGGCCACTGCCCGGCATGCCAGCCCAGGCCAGTGACCACCGCCCAGCACGCCAGCCCAGGCCAGTGATGACCACCACCCGGCGCGCCAGCCCAGGCCAGTGATGACTACCACCCGGCGCGCCAGCCCAGACCAGTGACCACCGCCCAGTGCGCCAGCCCCAGCCCAGACCAATGACCACCGCCCAGCGCACCAGCCCAGGCCAGTGATGACCACCACCTGGCGCGCCAGTCCAGACCAGTGATGACCACCGCCTGGCGTACCAGCCCAGACCAATGACCACTGCCCTGTCTATTGATAGCTCCTCAGACATTACTGCTTCAGGTTGGTATGTATCCTTCCAGATCTCTCTACTCATTCTATGCCTTATCTAAAGTCGAGATCCGTAAGTCCAACTCCTTGCTGGTCATCTGCACCGAGTGGCTCATAAGTCACCACATCACTTCCCCAAACTCTCTTCTGCCTCTCAAGTGCCTAAACCAAGTTCAAAATTGGCTGGCTCTGTGCAACATGGCATCCTGTTTCTCTGTTTATAAGATCTAGGAAATGACAAAAGGAGTCTACTATATCAAAACACCTGTGCAGCCAAGGACACAGCAGAGTGATGAGCACCTATGGAATGGGAGAAAACGTCTGCAAATCATATATCTGATAAGGGGTTAATATCCAGAATATGTAAAAACTTCAAAAAACCCAAGTAAAGACGTTTCTCCAAAAATGAGATTCAGATGGCCAGTGCCCACAAATCACTAGGGAAATGCAATTGAAAAGGTGGTACCATGTGGTACCACCTCACACCATTAAAATAGCTACTGTCAAAAAAAATGGAATATAAACGGTAAAGCTATGAAGAAACTGGAATACGTGCACTGCTGGGGGGAATATAAGCTGGTGCCACTGCTACTGAACTCAATATGGAAACACTTCTAGAGACGGATGGTGGTGATTGGTTGCGCAACAATGTAAACGTGCTTAACACTACTGAAGTATATACTTAAAAATGATTTTAGATCTTTTTTAAAAAATTGAGACAGAGTATTGCTCTGTCACCCAGGCTGGAGTGCAGTGGCATGATCTCTGCTCAGAGCAAACTCCTCCTCCCAGGTTCAAGCAATTCTCCCACCTCAGCCTCCCAAGTAGCTGGGATTACAGGCATGCATCACCATGCCTGGCTAATTTTTGTACTTTTTTAAGTAGAGACGGGGTTTCACCCTGTTGGCCAAGCTGGTCTCAAACTTCTTGACCTCAGGTGATCTGCCCGCCTCGGCCCTCCAAAGTGCCGGGATTACAAGCTGAGCCACTGCACCTGGCCAATTTTAGGTAAATTTTATGTAGATTTTTATCACAAAAATTAATTGAAAGAGGCTACCCCACATACTTCATGCATCCTCCTGTCCAGCAGCCCTGCCAGGCACACACTCACTGCCCTGCCCTGCCCCACTTTTCTGCTAGGACCTTGAAGATCCAAGCTCTCCTCTTACCTGCAACTGCCCTGGGCCTTCCCACTCCAGCTCCATTATGAGCTTATGTTTCTCTGTTGATGTTAGAGCCTGTTTCTAGGCCACCTATCCTTTCACTGTGCGGGTGCCCCTGGCGATTTCTTCCTAACAAGGGTTTTAAACAACATGTAAACACAAAGACACTCAAAAGTTATAACCAGTCAAGTCCCCTCATTAGGTCCAACAGCCAGATCTCTCCTCCAGCCTTAAAAAAGATTCCTCCTTTGATTGAGCAGCAGATGGAGTCGTTGGCTTATATTTAGGGACTGTGTTCTGTGAACACATGCAACTTTATGCACAAATCTCCACTGATGTCATGCTCACACCACAAGAGGCCTGTGTACACAGACCTGCAGAGGTCCTGCAAAGCCAGGGCTCCAGGCCAGCCCTGCTCTAGCTGGGTAGAAGTGGGTGGCACAGCCTGCACTGGGTGTTGCTCCTGTTCTATTGGGCTGAACACACGTAGTCCTAGTAAAACCCACGTCAGAGTGCACATGATGCCACATCACTCCCTTCCCCACGTCTGATGCCTCTGCCACCACGTGCTGCTGCGTCACAAGTGCTGACTGGAGCCACTCAGGGCATGAATACTGCTTTGGTCTGTTTCATTCCATTTGGAGAGGCTCAGATGTCCTGTTCATACCCCTCAAGCTCGAGAGTTTCTAAAGCAGGTTTTCCATTCAGCAATGTTCTTATTCTTGTGTTCTCAAAGCAACCCATCACCTAGGTCAGAATCTGAGGCTCCGGCTGGACGACATTCTCTGTTCCTCTGACTGTGTGAGCTCTGGATCACATCATCTTGAGTCTGCCTCTGTCTGCCCTCCCCTGGTACTGATATAGTTCAGGCCATGTTCCCTCCCTGGATGGTTCCATACAGCATGTTACCCAGCCTCCTGGACCCACTCCCACCCAGCTTCAAACATGTGCCATCAAAACCCTTTACAGAATAACTTTCTTTAAAAAAAATTTCATCTCAACATTTCCCTCCTTAGAGTCCCTCCATAATCTGATCTCTGCTTCTCACATAAGCCTCATTTCCCACCACGTCTCTATTTGAGGCCACACAGTAACTACCTGGAGACCTAACGTCCAGACAGAGCTGGAATAGGCTGAAAGGCAGGAAGCACCAAAATCGATGCCCCCCCGGTGTTCTCCGTGCCATGGTCAGTGAGAGGCCCACTCGTGTTGGCATACTTCCCTGGGTTATCTTCCGAGATAACCTTAGTACGCCACGTGATGCCTTGCTTTTGACATAGGAAGGAACATGATTTAAGGTTTCAGATATCGAGGTGCTGCGCTGTGCAAGAACAGCATGAGGTTTAAAATATGATGGGGCATTGGAAGTCTTCAGTGACTTAATGGGGGCCAGTGTAAGTTATGAAATAGGAGGAAAGGGCCAGGTGGAACAGCAGGCGTCCCTCAGGGTCCCTGCTTCTGCTTGTCCTACTGATTGATAGGGGATATGGCGGAACAGAGAAAGGAGGGTGACATTACAGCATCAGGATCCATGGAGTATTTGAGATTGCGCTCTTGAGATATTTAAGGTTATAGATGTCAGAAAACAAAGTTATAAGAAATTTAAGATTTTTGGTACCAAATTAGGTGTCCGCTGTTGTTTATCAAATAATAAATAAGGAAATGGACTGGGCAGTCCACTCAGTGAACATGACCAGCAAAATAATTTTACTAAAACTACTTGGAGGAGAGGTAAATAAAAGCATACATTTCATATTAATTTAGATCTGATTCCCACTATAATATAAAAATTTCGCCGGGCGCGGTGGCTCACGCCTGTAATCCCAGCACTTTGGGAGGCCGAGGCGGGTGGATCACGAGGTCAAGAGATCGAGACCATCCTGGTCAACATGGTGAAACCCCGTCTCTACTAAAACTACAAAAAATTAGCTGGGCATGGTGGCGCGTGCCTGTAATCCCAGCTACTCAGGAGGCTGAGGCAGGAGAATTGCCTGAACCCAGGAGGCGGAGGTTGCGGTGAGCCGAGATCGCGCCATTGCACTCCAGCCTGGGTAACAAGAGCGAAACTCCGTCTCAAAAAAAAAAAAAAAAAATTTAGACAAGACTATTCAAGAAACGAAGAAGATAAAGCATAACTCAGGAATAGAAGCATCCAGGTAAGTTAGAAAAATCTTTTTAAATTCCATGAAAGCACTATGCTAATTGTTTCTGCATCTGAAAATACAAATGAAAGGCATGTTCCTCTAAAGATACGTATTGTTAAAAACTGACTTAATAAAAAGTTAACCATTTAAGCAATTGAAAACTTTTGTGCAACTGCAGTCTAAAACGATACTGAACCTAAAAGATCTTTGGGCAGATTCTAACTTTTAAATAATAGTTATTCGCATGTCATTTAATCTGCTCCAAAGCATAGAAAAAGATTGAAATCTTCTTAGTTTACTTGGTAATTCTAGTATAATCCTGATACCAAAACCCACAACAAAGGTATCCAAAGAATACAGATCATTATTATTTCTGGAATATAAATATAACTTCTGAATAAAATATCAGCAAATCAAATCCAGTGCCTTAAAAATAATATCTGATGGCCAGTAATTTACCAATGAAAAATACCATCTATCTTTACTGATAGTCTAACCTACATATAATAGTGTAAAATATTAGTGGTATTCCTACTAAAATACATAACAAGTCACAGATTTCCTCATCTCCGTTACTCAGAATTATTCTAAGTGATGCAATAAGACAAAAACAATGACAATTATAAATATTGGTGAAGAAGAGGCAAAATAATCACAATTTGGGGGAACCCAAGAGAATCAAGTGATAACAGAAATAAATGCATTCTGAAAAATGATTTGTGGGGGACAAGTACGCACACATACACTTTCCAACATGTTTTCTAAATAACCAGAATATATAGTAGGGGGAAAAAATTCACAATCACAATAAGATCTACATAATTCCTTTTTTTTTTTTTTTTTTTTGAGATGGAGTTTCACTCTGTCACCTAGGCTGGAGTGCAATGGCGTGATCTCGGTTCACTGCAATCTCCACCTCCCAGGCTCAAGTGATTCTCCTGCATCAGCCTCCCAAATAGCTGGGATTACAGGCACCTGCCACCATGCATGGCTAGTTTTGTATTTTTAGTGGAGACGGGGTTTCACCATGTTGGCCAGGCTGGTCTCAAACTCCTGACCTCAGGTGATCAGCTGGCTTTGGCCCCTCTGTGTGAGCCACGATGCACCTATATAATTCCGAAGAATAAACTTAAGATATGTAAAGGATGTGTAAGAATAAATCTATGAATCTTTTCTGACAGATGAAAGGAAAAACTTTTTAAAGGAGACACATGCTATGTAAGAATTGAAAGACAATTATTGTGTCCATTTCTTCCAACAGCTAAATGTACCTCTAAACAAAGCATTATAGGTTTGTTGTGGGAGTGGGACTCTGTAAAACGATCCCTCCCAAATATCAAAATGCATTATAAAAATACAGTAATTAAGATAGCATGGAGTAGTGTTAAAATCCATAAATATTCTAAGTATAAATAGGAATTTAATACTTAGAATATTTATGGACTTTAATTTTAAAACAAATTTTTTATTTAAAGAATTATGTAGGTAAAGTGCAGATTATTTAATAAATGTGTTGAGACATTAGTTCTCACAGTTAGGAAAAAATGGTAAATACTCAAGATTTACATGTGGAAAATGAAACGATAAAACTGAAACAAAATGCGGTGATTATTTCTGTTGCCTTGAAGGATCTTTTAGGTATGACCCCCACCCCAAGGCAGAAATATTTGACCACATAAAAACTTAAAATTCTTCCTTAATAAAACAAAAATGAAGAACCAAACACACACAAAGTTAAAAAGCAGAGGTTGAGTTGTAAAGAACTGTTTGAAACATATGTGACAAAGTATGACTATCCTCACCAAGGACTGAACTCGTAAAAATCAGAAACCAGACACAGGAGAGAGCCTGGGAATTCCACATGTGCCTGTGGCTGTAGCACCTATTTGACTCAGAGAGAAACTTACTGTCCAGGACGCCATCATTTCTCACCGATTTTGAGCAAGGTGGTGGGGGAAATGGGGACCCCCCACCGGGCTCTGCACTGGGTCCTAACTGGCCCCGAGAGCTTCTGGTTGGGAGGGGCAGCTACTTGCAAAGATGCCCCAGCTGCAGAAACACTGGGATCACCCCGCCCCGCTCCCTCCCTTCTTTGCCCCAGGGAGTATTAGAGACAGGCTCCAGGGGAATGGAAAAGGAAGGGGTGGTTCTCAGGTGCAGGCCTGAATCCGCCCGGAAGGGGAGGCCCATGCTGCTAACAGCAGTTGGCTCTAGATAAAAGGGAAGGGAGAAGTCCTAAAATCTGTGGGGTTTTATTGATGTATTTTTTTTGCTTATTTGTATTTCTTTTCCCAAAATTTATTTCTGACCTATGCAATAAATAATCTCAAAAATTAAATTGTTTTGTAAATGTTTGGGTGGCAGCAATTTAGAAAATAAGAATGTGAATGTATTTGTTTTGTTTACAATTTATATCCATTGAAAATACTAGAATTAGCAAGCAAGAAACAGTGAAGCTCACAGGACCGACTTTCTAGACTGTCTACAACTCAGCAGAGAGACAAGTCAGTTCCACAAAGCTGTCCAGCAGCCATGTGACTGTCATGCCCAATTTTCAGAGAAGGAACTGACAAGCAAAACAAAACACACAAGATGAACGAAAAAGAATATAAAAATCAAATGATACTTCTTGATATTTCAAAAACTTACATAATAAAATCCGTCTTCATCAATTTCACCAAAAACTGTAATAATATCTCCTGTGCAAAATGTAAGTTCAGCCTGTGGAGATGAAACATAAAATGAATTGCATTTTCCTATACAAAAGTAGTTTTTTAAAAATAAGTTCTCCATGCTTTTCCTCCCTATTTGAGAATTTCTGCTATTGATCTACTCTTTCAGTCAAAGGAAGGTATAAGCTAATGCATAGCTCTGTTCACAGTCTTCTGGAAAGTGAACACTAACCCAGATAATGTCCACCGAAAAGGCAAACGCTGCAGCAGTTTGATTTTGGCTGAAATTCAAGATTATTACCATGTTCTACTGGTAATACATTTTTAAAGCTAGTCAAATTGTTAATGGTAAAAACCTGGAATATTAGGGAAATATTCTCTGGAGTGTAAGGACCATTACATAAATATCTTTTCACTGAGTATTTTAAAACCCACTTGACTATTAATTAAGCATTTATTTATTTATTTATTGAGATGGAATCTCACTGTGTGGCCCAAGCTGGAGTGCTGTGGCGCAATCTCAGCTCACTGCAACCTCCGCCTCTCCAGTTCGAGCGATTCTCCTGCGTCAGCCTCCCGAGCAGCTGGGACTACAGGTATGTGCCACTAAGCTTGGTTAACTTTTATATATTTTTTTTATAGAGATGGGGTTTTGCCATGTTGCCCAGGCTGGTCTTGAACTCTTGAGCTCAAGCAATCTGCCCGCCTCCCAAAGTGCTGGGATTACAGGCGTGAGCCACCGTACCCAGCCTAAACATCTCTTTATGCAGTGTCTACTCTGGGCCGGGCTGCAGCCCCAAGGCAGGCAGTTCAAACACCACTCAATGCCCTCAGGAGTCCAACTGTCCCAGCACATTTTAGTTCACAGTCACCTAGCAGAACATGGAAACATAACCCTGGACAACAGAAATCACCAAAAATGTTTTCTCTCTAAATGTAAAAATGAGGGAATATAGTTGGAGAGCCAGGGGCTTGTCAGAGAGAGCGAAGTACCGTGTCACATGGGCTCACATACCTCTTGTCCTCTCCGCCGGTGGCTCGAGAGAGTGGAGACCCCATCTCTCACTGTGAAGGCAGTGGTTTCAGCCCTCATGATGCCAGGCACCCCAAGCTGTGCTGGGCGATGCGACCTCACACATCACTGCTTTCTGCTCTGCTTTTCTATGTGTGGGGCCTTAGTGCTTTGCTTTCATTTGCTGACCACATGTGATGGGCTTTTATCTCTCTCCTAAAGATGGCCCTCATGTGACATCACCATTAGATGTGGGTGACAGATTGCTCTGTCGTGGCACAGGAAAATCTGGGCCACAGGGACAGGGCTTGTCAGGGGCTGGCTGTGTCCCTGGGAACCCCATGACCTCTATCCCGAGTGGCTATCTCTGTATCAGCCATCACCTCCGGCTGGCAGCCCTTCCCTCAGACGGTTCGGGGGAAGGAATGGGAAGGTGAGCACACGGGGCCCCAGTGTGGTGTACCACCAGGGAAGGGGTAGGTATGGCTTCGTGTCCTTAGCGAAGCAGTGTTTGACTGGTACCTCAACATCCACGTTGGGCGAGCTTTCTCTGGGGTCATAGTCATACAGGGCCACCGTTCTCCGAGTTGATACTGAATGATGCCTGCCACTTCTTCTGCTTCTCTCTGTTCAAATCACAAGGGGAAAGGAAAGCCATCATGAGGTTATTTCAAAATCAGTGTTGTTCCCCCTCCTTCCATGGCACACATGGCCAATGTGGCTGAGACCAGGCACCGCTGACAGGCTGCATGCCTCTGGGCACTCACATCAGTAGACACCCTACTCTGGGTCAGCTGTCCTGGACTCCACATTCTTATATTTTTGCTGTGGTGCGTTTCTCCCCCTTAGGGCAACATAAATGTTTTCCTTTCCCCAGGCTGTCCGCTAAGCCAGTGAGACTCACATGAAGCATGGGGCTCCCCTACAGCGAATCTACACGGCTTTGGCCAGCACGGGGAGCCCGTGGCCCAGGAAGCCCTGCAGAGGGCACGGGGTGCCCGCTGCTCTGGGAAAGCCACCCCCCCCCCAGTTTTAAAAGTGCCTGTCTGCGTAACTGGGGGTGCCACACAGTCACATCGTGCTCCCCCCGGTGGAGGCAAAACCAAGGCACTGTCCTCAGGAGAGGCGAGAATATCAACAGGGATGCCTGCTCTGCCCGGCCCGGTGGCCCACCCCTCATGCTGCTTCCCCAGCATCCTTCCAGTGTGGGTTAGCAGCTGCCATGGAGAGAGGCCACCTCTGCACAGACCGCTTAGAGGTGCATTCCCACAGCCTGGCCCTGTCTCTGCCACGGATAGGGGCCTGGGTGTCATCCCAGCACGCTCAGAAGCATAAGAAGGGACTACAGAGGAATTGCCCTAGGCTCCACGCAGATAACAGATTCCCCGGCTCTCCTCTGTGGCCTCCTTGACACGTCCTAAGATAACAGGTGAAAACTCTCAGGACGTGTTAAGGAGGCCACAGAGGAGAGCCGGGGAATCTGGCCCAATCGTGAAGCACCTGTCAGACTGAAGGTGTGGGGCTGTGGAGGACGCTCCTCCTGGCGAAAGTTGGCATTTGTGTGTGTCTTCTAAAACACACCCACCTTTTGCTTACATTTATTTTGGGAATTCCAAACGTACAGGTAAAAACTATCAAAGGCAAATATCTTAACAGCAACTAAAGTCAGCGATGTGGCTTTTCAGTGGTTTTCAGCAGGTATAGGGGGCAGCTGTGTAGACCTGCAACGTTCCAGGTTACCCTCCCGCTGGGTTCTGGTTAGGAGCCACTGCTGTAGTTTAAGGATGCATGCACGCCTCTGTGCACCTGTGTCCTCTGTAGGACCTGCACATCCGTCTCCTTGCATTATAACCTTATTCCGAGGTGAAAGGGCCTCTAAGCATTGCTCATGATACAGGGAATGTCACAAGTATGAATTTTGAAAGGTGGCATAACAACATACATGTGCTTCTCACTGAGGTGGAACTTACATACACTAAGGCCCTCTCTCTCTAACCTGAAGTTCTTTACGTTGTGATAAGCACTGATGGTCCAGAAACCCCATGACAATCAAGATAGAGGCTGGTCATGGTCGTCTGTGGTCACTCCAGCCCAGGTAGCCGCTGATCTGTTTCCTGTCCCAGACTTTGGCCCTTTCCAGAATGCCACTGAAAGCGATTCATACAGAATGTAGCTTCTGAGACAGGCTTCTTTCATTTGGATGACGCCTCTGAGATCCGCCCATGTCACTGGCTGTATCAGCAGTGGTCCTGTTCCATTGCTGAGCAGGCCCCATGGTGCGGGCACCTTCGATCTATCACTCAGTCACCAGCTGAAAGCACCTGCATTGTTTCCAGTTTTTGATGACTGTTCGTCAAAACACTATTAACAAACGTTCAGACAAAGGGTTTTTTGGCCTGAACATAAGTTTCCATTTCTTTTGGGTAAGTGCATAGGAATGGAGTTATTGGGCTGTATTGCAGGTGTATATATAACTTTATAAGAAACCAGCAAACTGTTGGCAGAGCGGCAATGCCACTGTCCACTCCCACCAGCAGTGCAGAGGCCCGCCTGGCACACTTGTGCCAATGCCTGCGGGGGCCAGTCATTAGCCTTAGCCCTTCCCAGTGGGTGTGCATTGGTGCCTCAGGGTGGTTTTAATTGTGTTTCACTGATGATGATGTTAAGCATCTTTTCACATGCTTATTTGCCATCCACATATTGTCTTTGGTGAAAGGTCACTTAAATATTTTATACATATTTTTATTGGGTTGTTTACTTATTGATGAGTATTGAAGGGTCTTTGTGTATTCTGAATGCAAGTCCTTTTTCCAGTGGGTTACTTGCGAGTATTTTCTGCCAGCCTGTGGCTGTCTTTTTCTTCCATTAATGGTGTATTTTTAAGTGCAGAAGTATTTAATTTTGGTGAAGCCTAACATTGACTTTTTCCTTTTATGTTTCATGCATTAATGTTCTGTCAAAGAAATCTTTGCCTGATTGTTATAAGGTTTTCTCCTGTGTTTTCTTCTGGAAGTATTATAGTCTTAATTTTTATACTTAAAAGTATGTTCTGTTTTATTTAAATTTTTAATATGGTGAGAGTATGGATTCAGGTTCATTTTTGGCCTATAGATATGCAGTAATTCCAGCACCAATTATTGAAAAGACTATCCTTTCTATATTGAATTGCCTTTTAACCTTTGTCCAAAATCAGTTGAATCCATCTGCGCTGGTCTGTTTCTGTACTTCATTCTGTTCCATTGATCTATGTTTCTGGCCTCTCTCCAATACCATGCTGTCTTGATTAGCATACCTCTACAGTAAGCTTGCAATTAGGTTATGTGAATCTTCCAACTTTGTTCTTCTCAAAAACTGTTTTGGCTCTTCTAGTTCCTTTGCCTCTCCATATAAATTTTAGAATTAGCTTATTGATTCACATAAATCCCAGCACGGATTTTGAATGGTCTTGCCCTGTGTCTGTAGGCTAACTTGGGGATATCTGACTTAACAGTATGAAGTTCATGAACGTGATATTTCTGTCCATTTATTTAGGTATCCTTTGATTTCTTTCATGTTTTCTGATTTTCGGCATACAAATACTGCATGTATTTTGTTAGATTTAATCCTAAGCATTTCAGGTTTTGTTGTGTTACTGTAAATGGCACTATTAAAAATTTTAATTTCCAAATTTTCATTGCTCACATATGGAAATACAACTGATTTTTGTTTATCGACCTCACATCCACTGATGTTGCTACACCATAGTTCTGGGAGCTTTTTCATTATTTGAGATTCTGGAGCTTTTCTAAGTAGATTTCCATGTCATCTGTGAACAGAAAACGTTGTGTTCCTTCCTTTCCACTCTGTGCACCACGTGTGCCTTCCCTCACCACGTCTCCCTGGTTATGACCTCCAGGATGATCCCGAAAAGCAGTGGTGAGGGCCGGCATCCCTGTCTGCACCTGGTTTTAGGGGGATCACATTCAGCCTTTCACCACTAAGGACGATCATTTCTGGTGATGGACGGGCAAGTAGACATGTCAGGCGAGGTTCCCTTGGCCATCCACATTTGGAAAAATAGAATAAAAAACACTTAATCTAATTGATAACATAAATCAAGCTACTGTTCCTTACATAAATTCTTGTATAGTTTCTGGGTCTGTGATACAGGGCCTGTATTCCCTTTGAAAGAGCCTTAGTCAACTTCAGGAAAGGGGAGCGTAACAAAAGTGGGTAGGGGTGTAGGGCTCAGTGATCTTCAGTCTCACAGCTTTAGTGTGGGTGAGATTCACACTAAACCTCGACTATTAGATGTGGATTCTATCTTGACACAATGTGTTTACTGATGCCAGAAAAGGTTGACGTGTGTTATTGGAGTCTGTTGTCTTTGAAGTCTGATTTAGAATTGATCTAAAGTTCTGAAGTATTAAACTTTAAATATGAATGACATAAAACTGATGTCTCTCCACAGCTTTTTAGAAGAAAACAGAGGCTTTTTAAATGACTACGTGGTCGTTGCACATGGAAAAAAAATTTTACTCATAATGTTGCTTAAAAGTCACTGAAAACATTTTTGCTGCATTCTCACTGGTGCTTGCAGTTTAAGATAAATGAAGGAGTTTCATGTCTTCCCAAACTAAAGAGAAAGAGCTTTTGTGCCTTTTGGATAAGCAAAGGTCACCTAAAGAATAAAAGGCACAGCACTCCCCCACCCACCCTCTGAAATGTACTGTAGACAGGCTGACGTTCAGAGCATATCACCAGGAAGCAGTTCATTGTGTGTTTTCTAGTTGTGATCAGTTTTTCACAAGCCAGACTGTCCCTCATCACCCAATAGATCATCTATGTCTTCTCACCTAGGTGTACATGTATCCCTAAAGCACGCAGGAGACTACTGGCAGCCCTGGTTTGTAGAGTGAGTTTTTGCCCAAGAAAAATCACTGGTCAACACTTCCATGACTTTGCATGTTTAAATGGTGCCACCTGGGGTCTCTTCATCACTGTCTGCCTCTCTGAGCGGCAGGTGTTTTGTGCGATAAAACTCACAGGCCAAGGTCGAAGAGAAGTTTGCACTTACCTATTTTCTCCACAGGTGTGTTCAGAGGGAGGAAACCCTGTCTGAAAAGCTGATCCATCATCTCCTCATCATCTGCTTGTATTTCAGAGACCATGTTACAAGGAATAAGGCCAAGCCGGGCACATGTTTCCCCACGGTAGAATCCATCGGCATCTTTATCGCCATAAACCTAGAACCACGGGAGAAAATTAGTCCAGCATTGTCATTGATTGGTTCAGAAATATACTAGTCTCACTCACGGTGAGTAGAGTAACATATTTTAAACATACTTTTAAAATACCACAAATCACCTGCATAGGTGACCCACATGTATGCTGTAGATGTATACATGTAACCCTCGCTCTGAGACTCAAGAGCCAATTTTTCCATCTAGCGTTTGGACAGCCTGCCATGCTTCTTTCTCATCAGGGTGTTTGCATGGATGAATGTGTGTAACTAAGGCCACGCACATTAAAGGGGTGCGTGATGACACCCCACTCTCCCGAGAAGGACCACGTGGGCTGCACGAAGCGGGTTTCTGTCTGTCTGAAATGGGTTCCTACATAACAAGATAGTGCCACACAGCAGGCATTCCAACCATTCTCAGATGCCACCTGTCAGGACCCTTGCTGAAGCTGTAAACTCAGGGTTCAAGGCCCTCTTTCCCCTCTCCTACTGAACAGCACACTTTCTTCATATTCCCTACTTGAAACTCGCAAGGCTCCCCTCCTCTCAGAAGGCTGGATCTCACCGCTTGTAATCCCAGAGGCCAAGGTGGGCAGATCACTTGAGGTCAGGAGTTCAGGACCAGCCTGGCCGTCATGGTGAATCCCTGTCTCCACTAAAAATACAAAAAAATTAGCCAGGTGTGGTGGCACACGTCTGTGGTCCCAGCTACTCGGGAGGCTGAGGTAGGAGAATCACTTGAACTCGGGCAGCAGAGGTTGCAGTGAGCCAAAAAGGCACCACTGTACTCCAGCCTGCGCGACAGAGACTCTGTCTCAACAACAACGAAAAGATGCTGGATATCAAAGGGGTGGGAAGCAGGGAAGCAGCCTCTGTCAGGCATGTTAAAGAGGTGTGGGACTCCAGTCTCTAGCTGCTGATGTGCCTTCCTCCCTCCCTGCCTCCCTCCCTGTCTCTCTCCCTCCGTTTCTTCCTTCTTCTGTGCCTGCCTGCTGACTGACAAGTGTTTTAAACTTTGGAGCCTGTAGTATTTTTCTTAACAGTGTAGTCCCTAATAGACTCTAGAGTTCACACGACATATTTGAGGGTGTGTGTGTGTGTGCGCGCGCCCACGCACAACCCTACAAGGCAAACCAGGTGAAGGTATCACCCCTCCTCACAGATGGGGCAGGCGCTGGAGAAGGGACCCGGCAGAGGGCAGGGCCCTGGCCGTCACAGCACCGTGCCATCTCCTCCTGTGGGTCCTACGGCCTCCAGCGCCCTGCCCCACGTGCCCTGCCCCACGTGCCCGACTCCACGTGCCCTGCCCATGGCCTGCTAGCGCAGGTGGCTGGCACGTCTCTAAGTCGATACCCTGTTGCCAGCCTCCGCCCTATCACCCAGACCCCTCAGGCACCAATGCGGCTGCCCCCAGGCGGCCGCCCCGTGCGCACCTTGATGATCTGGCCTTCCTTAAAGGGAAGCTCCTCCTCCGCGGCATCGGGGTTTGGGGACATGGTGAGTGGGTCGTAGTCAAATAGAGCCACAAAGATCCGGGCCGGGAGCTCCTCCGCACCGGGGTCGGTTTCTGACTCTTCGTAGAAGTCTGGAGAAAGGCGGTCTCGCCCGTACTCGTCTGAGAGCAAGTAGGGGTGAAGAACAGAGCGGCAGTGAGCCCTCCCGTCCCGCCTAACTGAGGGGCGCGCACAGGAGAGGCCGCTTTGGAAAGCAGTGAGCACGGGAGCGGCTCCTTGACTTTTGTCTTTTTTGTGTCTTAACATGTAGGCAGAGAGAGATCAGGATGTCGAGGTCAGAGGAATTAGAGAAGCACATGACGGTCATGTGCACACTGTGCAGCCACACTGTGTACCTCGCCGCGTGAAGGCTCTGAGGCAGGGCTGGGCCTCGGGGCCTCCCGGGCGGGCACAGGCTGGGGCAGGAGCTGGCGCCTGCCATGTGCAGGACCCACACACCCTGTAAAATGGAAAGCTAAGCACAGCCCACGTGTAAAATACGTTTACATGTTAGTCAAAGTCCTTAGAGTGACCAACTATTCACTTAGGTAAATATGTAACTTGCAACAAATGCATCTTTATTACAGGGAATTAATAATTTCCCTACAGAATGGGAGGAAATATTTACAAACTGATTTGGGTTTCAACTCCATATACCCCCCCCCAGCTTCTAAAAATGGTTCTTTTGGACTAGAGGAAATGAATACATTTACAAGCACATACAACCTCCCAGGATTCAATAAGGAAGAAATTGAAACTCTGAATATACTGACACTGACTAAATGATTTCACTGCTGAATTCTACGAAACATATTAAGAAGAGTTGGTACCAATTCTACTTCAACTGTCCCAAAAAAACTGAAGAGGAAGGAATCCTCCCTAACTCATTCTATGAAGCTAACATCACTCTGATACCAAAATCTGGCAGACACAACAAAAAGAGAAAACTACAGGCCAATATTCCTGAACACAGATGCAAAAATCCTTAACAAAATACTAGCAAACTGAATTCAGCAGCACATCAAAAAGACAATTCACCATGATCAAGTAGGCTTTATCCCCGAAATGCAAGATTGGTTCAACATATGCAAATCAATAAATATGATTCACCACATAAACAGAACTAAAACAAAAACCATATGATTATCTCAATAGCACAGAAAAAGCTTTCAATAAAATCCAACATCCCTTCATGATTGAAAAAAATCCCTCAACAATCTAGGCATTGAAAGATGTACCTCAAAATAGCAAGACGCATCTATGAAAAACCCACAGCCAATATCATATTGAATAGGCAAAAGCTGGAAGCATTCACCTTAAGAACTGGAGCAAGGCAAGGATGCCCGCTCTCACCATTCCTGCTCAACAGAGGAGCATCAGCCAGAACAATCGGGCCAGAGGAAGAAGGAAAAGACATCTAAATAGGAAAAGAGGAAGTCAAATTATCTCTCTTCACTGATGATATGATTCTAAATATAGAAAACCCTGAAGACTCGACTAAAAGGCTTCTAAACCAATAGACATTTTCAATAAGATTTCAGGATACAAAATCAATGTATAAAAATTAGTATCATTTCTATACACCAATAAATTGTTTAAGCTAAGAGCCAAATCAAGAATGTAGTCCCATTGGCAATAGACACATACACACACATACAAAATACACAGAATATATCTAACCAAGACACACAGAATGCATCTAACCAAGGAGGTGAAAGATCTCTGCAAGGAGAAATTCAGAACACTGCTGAGAGAAATCACAGATGACATGAATGCTAAAATATTACATGCTCATGGGTTAGAATAATAAATATCACTAAAGTGGCCATATCACCCAATGCAATCTACAGATGCAATGCTACTTCTAGCAAACTTCCATTGTCATTTTACGCAGAATTAGGAAAAACTACTCTAAAATTCATATGGAACCAAAAATCCCAAATAGCCAAAGCAATCTTAAGCAAAAAGAGCAAAGCTGGAGGTATCACATTGCCTGACTTCAAACTATACTGTAAGGCTACAGTCACTATAATGGCATGGTACTGATACAGACACAGACACACAGACTCATGGGACAGAATAGAGCACCCAAGAATAAAACCTCATTCCTGCAACCATGTGATCTTTGACAAAGCTGAGAAAAACAAGCAATGGGGAGAGGACCCCCCATTCAATAAATGCTGTGGGATAACTAGCTAGTCACATGCAGAAGATTGAAACTGGACTCCTACCTTTTACCCTATACAAACATTAACTCGAGATGAATCAAAGATTTAAACTAAGACCTCAAACTATACAAATACCACAAGAAAACGTAGGAAATACCATTCTGGATATAGGCCTTGGCAAAGAATTGATGGCTAAGACCACAAAACCAATTGCAACACAAACAAAAATTAACATGCATTACCTAATTAAAGAACTCCTGCACAGCAAAGGAAACCATCAACAGAGCAAACAGCACGCTACAGAATGGGAGGAAATACTTGCAAACTGTGCATCCGACAAAGGTCTAGTGTCCAGAATCTGCAAGGAACTTAAATCCACAAGCAAAAAATGACTCCATTAAAAAGAGCAAAGGACATGAATAAACATCTCAAAAGAAGACATACAAGCAGATAATAAATGTATGAAAAAATGCTCTACATCACTAATCATCAGAGAAACACAAACAAAATCACGACGAGATACCACTCGTACCAGTCAGAATGGCAATTTAAAAGTCAAAAAATTAGACGCTGGTGAGGCTGCAAAGAAAAGGAACACTTAAAAATGTATATACTATTGGAGAGAATGGAAATTAATTCAACCACGGTGGAAAGCAATTTGGAGATTTCTCAGAGAATTTAAAACAGAACTACCATTTGACCCAGCAGTGCCATTACTGGATGTATACCCAAAGGAAAAGAAGTTGTTTCATCAAAAAGACACATGCACTCAATATGGTGATCACAGCACTGTTCACAATAGCAGAGACACAGAATCAACCTAGATGCCCATCAACAGTGGATTGAATAAAGGAGATATGATGTGCATACTGCATGGAATACGACGCAGCCATGCAAATGAACACGATCATGTCCTTTGCAGCCACTGCAGCCACCATCCAAAGCAAATTAACACCAGAACGGAACACCAGGTACCTCCTGTTCTTACGTACCAGTGGGAGCTAAACATTGAGTCCACACAGACACAAAGATGGGAACAAGAGAAAGCAAGGACTATGGGATGGTGGAGGGGGCAGGGACAAGGGCTGAAAAACTACCCACAGGGCTATGCTTACTTCCTGGACGATGGCATCACTTGCACCCCACACCCCAGCATTCTGCGCTATACTCACTTCGCACACCTGCACACGTACCCCAATGAATCCAAAATAAAAGTTGAAAGTTTAAAGAATCAAAACAATTATTTTGGAAATACTAATACGTATGCATATATATACATATACATGTCATTAAACATCATTAGATATGTATGTGCATATATGTGAATATGTATGGAGAGAGACAAGGGAGGTGGGGAGAGGGAGAATAGAAACTAAACAGAAAATATTTTTCTGATCACAGGAGATGGTCTCAGAACACCAGGGAAGTGGCCAGGCGTGGTGGCTCACGCCTGTAATCCCAGCACTTTGGGAGGCTGGGGGGCGGATCACCTGAGGTCAGGAGTTCAAGACTCACCTGACCAACATGAAGACACCCCGTCTCTACTAAAAATACAAAATTAGCCGGGTGTGGTGCTGTATGCCCATAGTCCCAGCTACTTGGGAGGCTGAGGCAGGGAGAATTGCTTGAACCCAGGAGGCAGAGATTGCGGTGAGCTGAGATCATGCCATTGCACTCCACCCTGGGCAACAAGAGCAAAACTCCATCTCAAAAACCAGGGAAGCAAGTGAGAAACGCGCCAACAGAGGGAGTATTGGGAGAAGCGGCCCAGTGTCTTCTGTCACAGCAAAGGAGCACAGGTGGCAGGATGACAGGACCCGGGAGCTGGCGGGGAAAGAACCAAATGCTTCGGCCTCTTTCACCAGAAAAAATGAAACATTTAGTCTAAAAATAAAAAGCACTTTGGCTGCAGGAAAGGTTGAATTTTAAAGTGCAGTGAATTGTTTACACGATTGAGATTCAGAGTCTTTTTTGAATGCCTAATCTAAAACGTCAGTCATTTCTGCCAGGGAACAAAACTTTCCCACAGCAGGCTTCGTTAACTTCTCCATACTGTTTTGATTTTGTGGATAGTCAATTTAAAAACCTGACTTTTTTCAAGTGTTATCTGAGTTAAACAGAATGTGAAGCACCCCGTGACTCCTACAGCATGCGCAGCTGGGCAACACCTTCTCCCACAGTCGGGGTGAGGGTGGAGAACAGCTGTGGCGACGTGAGAAGGATGCCTGCTTTCCATTCTGCTGGAGGAACTTATTGTAAATGTGATCTAGTGAACGCGGTTCCAAGTGTGGGAAAATGCCAGTGGAGGAGAACTTGTGGCTCCAGCATTTTCCAAGCAGGTTCTCAGCACTTTTCAGCTGAGCTGATGTGGCAAGTTTGTGGCATCAGAATGTGCAGTGGGGTCGGGGGCTAAGGCCAGGTGCTGGAGAGAGTTGGGGGTGGCAAACATCCCCCTTGAAAACCTTCCACATCCCTCTTCCAGCCTACGTAAGAGTGCATTCTCTCAGTAGGTAGCTCATGCTCCAGGTCCATGACCTGTGACACTCATCTTTGTCTTCAAGTCCAAAGCCACATGGACCATGCAACTGAAGGAAGACAGGAGTGGGGCAGAGGCCAGCCTCCAAAGGAAGGCCCCTTCCAGAGAACTGCCCCCAATGTCACGTTGTTTTGTGGGGAAGATGGGGTGCAGTAGAGGTGGGCGGAGCACTTGGAACTGAATGTATGTCAGTAACATCACTAGTATGCTGTGACTCCACCGTATCCTCTTCCAGAGAGGATGCACCAGATGTGCTGTGAGCACCAGACCGCCACAGGGCGAGAGCAGGAGCCTCCCTGGAATGTGTCAACGGAATCTTGGCTTCACTACAGACTGGACCAGGCAGGTGGGGGTCCCTCATCCTTGGTGGTGGCAGTCAAGACTGAAAGATGCACTTACCTGCAGCTGTCAGTCTGACCTGGGGGGAGTGGGCACTGCCTCCCGGCCTGCTGAGGAGGAGGAGGAAGGGTGTGCATATCGTGTGGGAAGGTGCGCAGGGCTCGTGCCTGGCCACCTGTGTGGGCTCCCAAGTCCATCAGTGCCATGAGAATAAACACAGTCTTCCTCAGGAGGGACTTTTCCCTCACTCCCAGGCCCAGATTGACCATCCTCACTGCTACTGTCCATTGTCATTTCCATGGAGATAAAGGGAATCAGCTATTAAACAAAGCTGACAGCTTTTGACTTTTTTTTCTTGCAGGGAAACCTGAAGAAAAGGGCTCTCCTTTTTAAGGAGCAAAGCTTTGTCAAAAAAGTTATTAACTTTTAAACTCTTCCTCCCTGGACACAAAGAAAATGTGCTATACATCTTTCCTCACTTCATAGGCTCAGTAGCCAAAATAACAAAAAATGGGAGAATACAGAGGAGATTTTCAGAGTTGATTCATAAAAATAGAATCCTCTTTTTTCTAGGGGGGTTTTAGAAGGGTAAACCTACAGGCCTTCTGTCTTACTGGTAAACAGTTAGATAAATGCAAAGACCAACATTGCAAGGGATAAAAAGCAAACCTAATCAAGTTTACATTTGAAGACATCTATCAACGTTGAGGCCTCTTTATGCTAATTATATGGCTGAGACTTTATTAGCTATGAAGCTACATAATTTTTTAAATCACCTCTTTACGCTAATTATATGGTTTGGAATTTATTAGTATTAAGCTACATAATTTTGTTTCTTTATAATCATGAAGGGCATTTTTTTAAATTTTGGAAATCCAGAGACTATTGAAAGTTATAGTATTTTTAATGATAGATCCACTGCTTATTAAAAATATGCTTAGGAAGTACATAGTTCACAGACTTAATTTCCTCTGAAAAAGAAAAGCAATGCTTTTGAAATATAGCAAATTCCTAAGATGTTATTTTCTAATATTTTCACAACAAAAATAGAATGAATAAATGAGAGGCACGTCCTGTTCAGACGTCACCGATGGTTCATCTCCCAAGGCCTTGCTAGCTTCTCCACCTCCTCAGGTGGATGATAAGCACGCTCTGCTCTTGTTTCGTTTTGAAACCACAGTAGGTGCTGAGGTGTGTATTTGTGTGTAAAGTGTCTGGTTTTCGCTGTTTTTATGTGGTTTCCTGGCTTGCTCCAGAAGTCTGCACAATTAAAGCAAACCTATCAGATTTGTCAGTTCACACTTTTCCAAGTGATGTTCAGAGGCTTTTTCCTGGTAAAGGTGTGGACATAGAATTGCTCTTTCACCAAATTTAACAAGTGTCCTACTGAAATTAAGACACACATGCAGCCTCTGGAATTCTTCAGCCTCAGAAGAATCCAACCAAATTGTCGCCTACAACTCTGACAACGAGGGTCACCCCAGCAAGGCTGCGGGCCCAGGAATGGTTCTCTTTGACTTCCTGGCTCACATACCGATCTGCCCAGCACACTTTCAGTGCTCAGTCCTAGGAGATTGGAACAGAAGACCCACCATGCCTCTTCCAAACAAAAGCCTTTCTTGATGCCCACGGCATTAACTTTTCACCAGCTAGATCATCACCAGGTCATTTAGTGAGCAATGCTTACAGTCTTCACTTGTTAAAGTTACAATCAAATAAAGACTCAAAAGCTCGCCCCAACCACAGAGAGAATGAGAGCCTTGAACAGGAGGATTGGCCTTTTCCCCACCTCGTTTCTCAAGACAGAACATCTAGGACAGGGCATTTAACATGAAAACAGAAGAACCTATTTATTAAGCTCTGTAGTTGCTACAGAGGGAATCACACTCAAATCCAATGAACATCTGAGAGATACTCACTAGGTTTAGAATACCCGAAAGGAATCTGGATTCCACTAACCCTGCTAGTTGATCTGTGTTAAGTGCCGTCAGTGTTTTCCGAGCCTGGTTGCCTCTTTTATTATTCCGTTAACTGCAAATGCTGTTGCCTAAGGATCTTTAACACTGCATGAAATGTTTACTGGCTAAAGATAAAAGCAATCTAAAAACTGTTAAGATGGAAAAGGAAATTTTTTTTCTTATTGTTTAAATTGTACAAGGAAGAAAAAGTCTGGCAGGAAACGCTTTTAAAGGCTCTCTTTTGCTCTATGAAGTCTTTCTTCATTTTGAGTTGATGAGAGGAAGACCAATTGCCTCTTAAACTTCAGCTATTTCAGTGTGATTCAAGGTGGCTTTTCGGGGGCCTAGACAAGTCTAGGGGGCCCAGAAGTTCTCCTCCCTCGGCCCTGTCATGCCAAACCGAGATACTTTCTCCTCGTCTATGTCTGTTGTATTAAGAGTTCTCCATGCGTGCGTGCACATGTGTGTGCATGTGTACATGTGTGTATACGTGTGTGCGTGTGTGTGCGCGCGCATGCATGTATTCCTGGAGCCCTGGTCCCTCTGTGCTGATGACCAGCTCCATTTTTGTACATAATACCTTTTGGAATTCTCCTTGCCATGATTGGTTCTAATAACAGAAGTACCCCCCTCTTATCCCCCTCTGCAGACTGAATTCCAAAAAGTCAGAAAGAGAAGGGAAACGGCCTGCCAGAGGACGACTCATGAGCAGGGGAGGTGACCGGGTGGGTGCGGGGGGCACACATTTCAGGGCACACTCAGCTGCACGGTGCTCCCTAGGACTTAGCTCCGTGGCAAGCGTGTCTTCTGCAGACAGACCACTCTCCCTCAGGCAAGGCTCACAGACCCATGAGGCACGCCGACATCTGGCCTATGCACCTGCCTCAGGCTCTGGCCCTGAGTGTCCCAGGGAGCCCCCCATGCCAGGCCGAGGGAGGCGACACAAAGCAGTCCCTTCAGTGCTTACCCTGTGAAGCTCTCCAGGGAAAAGTCGGCGGGGAGAAGGTGGATGTAGCAGGCCGACTGGATATTTCGAGAATACTTACAAATCAGTTTCATTTATCTTGTGCCATTCCTTCCTTCTTTTTGTCATGAATAACAGAGTGTTCTGTGCTTAGCTGAAAATGCTACTCCTAAAATTTTGTTCAAGCTGAGATGGAGTAAGCAGCCACATGCTCAGAGGCTGAAAGACAGAACAGCAATGATGGGGCCACTAACCGATGGATGGGACCGTGACGGGCCTCGACCTCTGGGGACCAGCGCTGCCACGGGGAAACCTCCGGCCCATGTGATCCACCCGTCCTGCAGAGGCTGGGTTCCCTAAAATCTAAAGACAAAAGAACAACAAAGTCACAAGTCTCGCCAGCGTTGTGAACTGAAGAATTCAGTTAGCCAAATCAAGTGGATTGAGAAGCAGAATCTCTAAAGGCAACTAAACTTAGCTTTTAACTGAAAGGTTAGCTGACTGGCCTGGGAGAGAACAAAGCCATGCACCAGTGCCCGTGGTCTACTTGGAGCCGCTGCTGGGCGCATGGTGGGCGAGGGCAAAAATCCCTCCCTGGGGGGTCTCTTGGTTGCTGCTGGTAGTGCTGAAGACACATTTTGGACCAAAAGACAGTGACTTGAATACAGCTCGCCCCACCCCGGCGCCTCGCAGCGCTTGAGCCATCCCTGGTCTCCACGTGCCTCCACGGCTTTCACAAAAGTGGGCAAAATGCTGCAGTTGCACCTGTCCTGCTTGGATAAAAGTTGTGTGTGAGGTTTCAAAAAACTCCAAGACGGAAGTTTCTACATTTTATCAGATGCAAAACTCAACATTCTACTCCAAATCTGAAGATGCTGGTAACTCTAGGACTCAGACGGGTCTCCTTTCTGGCTAAATCCACCTTTAGATGAAGGGTAGGACTGACTAAAGGGAATCGCAGCAAAACGTCCAGCTCGCCAGTGAGTCAGCGGGGTGAGGAAGTTCTCAGGAACACAGGCGTGAACGGTGGGAGAGTCGCTGGGGAGGAGGGTGCCTGCAGCGGGGCCTGCCTCAGGGACACAGGCGTGAATGATGGGAAGGGCGCTGGGGAGGAGGGTGCCTGCAGCGGGGCCTGCCTCAGGGACACAGGCGTGAATGATGGGAAGGGCGCTGGGGAGGAGGGTGCCTGCAGCAGAGCCTGCTGCAGGGAGGGGCGGCTGCGGGGAGGGGCGGCTGCGGGCTGCGGTGGGTGGGCGGGTGAGCCATGGAGTGTGGATGGTGTGCCTCTGCTGGGTGGGCCCATCGTGAGCACATGGGCTCAGACCCGAGGCCTGGCGCCATGCGGATGGCTCACCTGTGTTTTCAATGAAAAGGTCAGCATGACGGGAGCAAATGTTCTGAAAAGAGGACACAATATAGAGATGAATGAAGCCTTCGATGTATCCCTGCGCTCAAAACCAACAGCACGCCCGGACGGCAGGGCAGGGGGATGGGGAGAAGGCTGATCATGGAAACTGTGGGCACAGAAAAGAAATAGGCAAAAAAACCAAAAGCCTCAGAAATGATGTGAAAAAAAAATAGATTTCTTCATTGTTCTCTTTTCTTGGTTATGGATGAAGGCCAAAAGCAATGAAAACACTCCAAAACAACGAGGAAAAAAACCCTGGACAATGCTAGTCATCAGTCAATCCCTGAGGATCACCGTGAACACGTACGTGTTGCCAAACTTTCAGATAATCACAGTTCAGCTAACCCTTAATTAAAATTTAGATTCAGTTGTCCTTTAATTCAAGCAGCCATACTCATTACTGATTCTGGGGGGTGGAAATCATCACACTAAGCAAAGTAAAGAAATCTTCAGCATGGTCAAAAGATTGGGAAGCAAACGGGACTTGAGAAATCAAAAATGCAGGGAAAACGAAAGAGAGCCGGCAGCAGGGTCCCCGGGACGGACTCGAGAGCAAACGGAAAACCAATGAGAGAATGGAACGGATTGGTTGGGCAAGTGGCTGTGAAAAGGAGGTTTACGTCACACACCGGGGAGCCTTGTACGACTCTGGGAGGTGGCTTTGCGTGTTGGGCAGCTGCCCTACTGTCAGGCATGGTTATGCTTTTCTTCCAGACACCCCGAAAATCTTGGTGCTCGGTGGGCTCGCCCCAGCTGTGCTTCCTGGGGAGCAGCCTCTCCGGGCTGGGCTGGGGGTCGTTGCTCCTGAGGATGCCACCAAGGCCCACCTGCTCCCCAAAGTCCTCCTCGACGCTGTTCTGCCGGGTCAGCGTCCGCCGCCGGGCCAGCAGCGGCCTCAGGGCCCTCCTGCAGGGACAGTGGCTGGGGCCGGGGCTGCACATGGCCGCGGTGTTTCCAAAACCAAACCTCGACTCCTCCTCTTCACTGCCACAGTCCAGGCCGCTGTCCGGGCTCCGAGTGGCTGAGCGGCTGAACCGACAGCCCCTGTCTTCTAGAAGGAAGTCCTCCGCGTGGGGGACAGCCCCCGAGCCCCTGTGCTTCACCGGGAGCCAGGAGCCCCGAGGGCCCTCGTCGCCCCGGTAGGGCCTGCCGGGCCTGCGCTCTCTGGCCAGCCCGGTCCTGGCCCTGGAGGCCGGCCCCGCACCCTGCTTGTGCAGCAGCCCGCAGCACTCCCCGTCCTCTTCCGCTACTTCGGGGATACTGAAAAGTCTCTTCCTGTGCTGGGGCTGGTGGGGAAACTCGGGCTGCTCCCAGAAAGCGCCTTCAGAGGTCCTATGCTCAGTGCACTCCTGACGGGGGTGGTGTGTCAAGAGCAGGTGCGGGAAAGACAGTGTGTGGCCAACATGAAGTGGGGGCCGGGGGAGGAAAGAAAACACAGACAGAATTAGTTCTGGAGGCAGCAAGGGGGGAGCATGCGTCTACTCGGGCCAGAGCATGCCGTGGAGGGCTCTGGAATGAAGACAGAAAGGGTTACGGGCCGGTGCGGGGTGGAGGCCGAGGCAGGGCACACGCAGAGCTAGCAGGCCGGGCAGGAGCCAGCGCCATGCATCCAGCCAAGGAGAGGGCAGGTCAGATGCTGGCAGCACTGCTGCTGTGGGGGTGGGTGTGGCTACAGTGCCAGGGGGGAACGCCCGCGGCTACAACCTCAGAAACCCTGAGGGCAGCTGCCGCTGGAGGCTGAGCACGAGCAGAGATAGTCCACCAGACGGAGCTTGGCCTGCCCTGGCCATCCACTGGGTCTGCTTCTCTGCCAGTGCTCGGCACCCTCGGCAGGCCTTTCTGGTTAGGCTGACGTGTCACCTTTCTCCCTGCTAAGATACAACCTGCATGAAACCACACCATCCCCGGCCCTGCCACCAGCACCTGCACACCATCGTGCAGAGTCTGTGTCAGCAAAGGACTGGTGTCTGCCTGTCTCCTCTGCACCCTACATTTTGGGGTCCCTGAGAGCCACACCTGAGCCACCACGGTCTCTAGCTGGTGGCATGGAGCTGGCCACACTGGGCTCTGTTTCACCAGTGTCCGTGGCTCTTCTGTGGCCTGTCTACATGTCATCATTTCGCCAGGAACAGCCCTCAACTCGCCCTCTACCTGAAGAGTGTGTTCTCACGATGAAGGACTCCTGACTGGTCTCTCCTTTGAAGGGGCTTAGCTGACTGCCCAAAGTATGTCCCTGGCTCCTGGCCATTGGCCCTGGGGATGCTTGGTAGAGATGAGCCACGTGGGCACAGAAAAGGGCAACCTGTGTGTCTCTGGCCTTGGGCCCCTTGAGCTCAGAGGCCATGCGGGATTTGCCCAGTGCAGGGGCTGCAGTGGCCCTGAGGCTTGCACGGGCCGGGCGAGGAGGCGCTGGGCACACACACGCTGCCGCCGCCAGCTCTCTCCCTTCACCTCCTGCAGGTTCGGGGAACATTAGCTAATACTGGAGCGAATAAGGATGCCGAAAACAAACCATCCTCGGAGTACAGGGAGGACAACCCCGGGCACTTCCCCAGGCAGGTGGGATAAGTAAACCCGGTCAGCAGGGGCTGAACGAATGCATTCCGTGCCCTTGAGGGCCGAGTTCTGCCACAGCTCCCCACTGCCAAACGTGTGCCCTGAGTGGCCAGAGTTCCGTGATGACCCATGATTCTCCAAAGAGAATCCAGAAATCCAGATCAGCCTACATGATTTCTAAAAACTGACGGCACCCTGTGGCTGGGAGAGGGAGGCTGCTGCCATCCTGGCTGAGCCCCAACCCCGGCGATCCCCAAGTTGCTGAGAGGTAGAGCGGGTGAGGCTGTGTCTGTGTGTGTTGGGGGGGGTGTTCTGCCCAGCACCTTTATGACGAATTCACTTGACCCTGGGCCACCTCCTGAGGAGAGAAGATAACATGATTTCTCTACTATGCAAGTTGCACAAAGCCTCATCCCGGCTCTTCCTCTGTCAAAAGGAGGGGCGTCAGGGACATGGGAAGACCAGCAGGCCTGACTCATGGGTACTTTCTGGGTGCTCCTGGCACTGGGGCACACAGAGGGGCCATGGGCCGGACTGGACCACTCCGGAAAGGCTGGTGTGAACCGGCTGTGGGGTATCCCCGGGAGCGGCAGGGTGGAATGCGGGGCTGTGCGTGCTGCGCCATGCAGGGTTTGCATAAGATCTGGCATGTTCTTTGGTGACAGGACATCCCCAAGGCCCTGCCAGGGCCATTGCGGGAGAACATAAGTCAGTCTTCTCTATGCAAGTAGGCACCGAGTCGGCAGGCCAGATTTGGATGAGCCTTCTGTCCACCATTCAAAATGCACGCCCTGTGTTCCTGGAGAAAGCCGGGCCAGGAAGCTTCGCCCGGGGGATCTTCCTCACCAAGGCCTTTTTCATTTGGAAAACCCACAAAGCTCCCACCAATTGCCTGCCCTTTGTCTGTGTGCCGTGAGGTTGGGACCTGCAGAGGGCACCCCTCAGCCTTGCACAGGGCCTGGTGCCTGGAACGGGTCATCCCACACTGAGGAGTTGGAGCACACCGCCCAGCAATCACAGCAGCGGCGGCCAAGTCTCCCAGAGGCCAGGAATGAGGGAAAGCCACATGGAGGGGAAACCTACCCTCCTTGAGCTCAATATTCCTGCAGGTAACCTCCCATCGACCCCTGGCTGATGGCCTCTGCCAGAGCAGGAGGTCTAGCACTCGGGTCTAGCGGAAGTGGTCTGAGCAGGTGCATGGAGCCTCCAGCCTGTCTGTGAGGCCGGCATGATCAGAAGCGGGCCAGCCCGTCCTCCACGCCCATCTCCTCCAACGTCACTGCGCTTGACTCCCGCCCACCACCCAGCAGGGTCCACCGCAGTCCCCTCCTCTAAGGAGCTCCCTGCCGACCACGACCACACAGTCCAGCCTCCACCTCAGACTTAGAGGCTGATTTGTGCACTCTCAGCTGCAGATTTTCTTAAGATGAGACTTAAGGCTACAGGTGGCAGGGGGTCTTCTTTGTTCTATCCCTCCCACTCCAGTTCCTGTCAGAGCTGGGTGCCCCCTGGAGGCTGCCAAATGGATTCCCCTAAACTCCTTTACCCAAACCTTTTGGCAAAGAGCAAGACGGGAGTGGAGGTAATTCCCGAATGCAGATTCAATAGTGAGAAAGAAGCGAATCCAAATCCGAGGGCTACTGGTGGCAGGGCAAGGCCCCTCTGGAGCCAGCCTCACCAGCCCCAGCAGAGGGACGAGGATGGAGCTACTCTGGGGACAGTGCACAGTGCCCCTCCCCCCACCGCTCACCTTGAGGGCATTGTGGGACGTGCCGCTGGGCCGCCTCCTTCCCCCATCTTCCAGCTGCATTTCGGAATACAGCTCCTCCTCGTCTTCCTCCATGATGTCTGAGAGGTCAGACCCCCGGCTGCTCTCCGTGTGGTACTCGTCTCCATGGCAACAGTGGGGCTGGGGGCCAAGAAGAGGGGCGACTGAGGGGCTTGTAAGACACGTGGGCAGAATGGTCCATTTCCGGACACCCTCGGCTTCTCCAGCTTATTGGCTGAACAAAGCCTCCACACTCTGGTGACAGTGGGGATCGGGGCCCAGCAGGTGCACACGGGATCCAGCGTTGTGTGAGGGGCCGGGATGGTGGTAAGGGGGGTGTACCTGCACCATAAAAGGGCACTTTGGTTTTAAAACATGCCACATTGCCTGACACACACACAGAGACGTTGGCAGACAGCCCAGCCTGGCAGGAGGTGGAGCCACCATACAGTCTGTGTGCTCCTCCAGCCCCAGCCTGGCCTCGGCTCCAGGTGAAGGTTGTGCAGACAGCAGGGCCTCCGGGTGGAGGCTGGGGGCAGCATCTTTAGATGCGAGGCCACCTAGTAACACAGCAGCTTGGAGACGGCGACAGCCCTGGTGGACTCTCATTATTTCACGTATACAGGGAAGCTAAGGCCCACAGAACTGAGAATTTTTGAATTTTTGTCCATGATTATGCAGATGGTCTTCTAACAGAGCTGGAATTAGGCTGAAATGGAGGCCTGTAGAATATCTGTTCCCAGGCATTTTCCAACATGCCACGTCTTCTCCACCTATCCAGGAGTGAATCAGCGCCTTCCCCGACCTCTGCTCAGGTTTTAAACCCAGAGAAAAGGCTGGAGCACTTTGTGTGGGACCCATACCCCATTGGATTTTGAGATCAGCATCCTGGTGCCAGCAGCAGCAGCTGGGTTTCCACTCACAGAGAAAGTGCCCCGTCATGTGGTAATGGTGTTTAAAGTGAAATAAGTAAAGCTTCAACAACTCAAACCACACGCTCTGATGTGCTCAGATTTATGAACGCAACACCATAAAGATATCTGCTTTTGCTACATGGTGTTAAGAACAGTTGATTTTGCTGGTGGGTGGCAAGATGAAGACATTCAATAGCATTCTGTGGCATATTTGTTTAAACAATACTTTGGTGTCAGCTACTAACCTAGACAAAGATGTGCCTGCCCCGAGCCAGCGAGAGGGAGGATGGAAGGGCCCTGGCTAGGCCGTCTGCAGCACTAGCCTCTGAGCTACGCCAGCCCTGACGCTTCCAACTGGGCACCAAGTGGAAGGCATGAAGCGAGCAGGGTTTACATGGATAAACAAAGGTGAAACTGCATCTCATGAGGCCCCCCTGAGACTCCCAGGCAGGGACTTCCTGTGCCACAACACAGTCTCACTTTATTCAACCCAGCAGTGAGCTAGGGGCCAACTCTTGGGATGGAAGTAGGTGTCCAGCACTAGCCAGATGCTTGAGGTCAGCCCTCCCCACTCCTGGACTAGTATTCTAAGAAGAGTGAGATGCCCAGTGACTGTCCGAAGGTGCTCAGCCAGTAAGCAATGGCTGGGCCCGCCTCTGCTGACAGAGAACACGGCCTCCGAACTCCACCAAGCAGGTGTCTCCTTGGGAGACACAGGGCCATGTCCAGTCCTCAGTGGAGAATGCTGGCAGGCAGCCCTCCATGGGCAGAGGGGAGGTGCTGAGCCCATATCCCGCAGGAGGTCCATGGCTATAAATTTCACTTACAGAGAAGCTGAGGCAAAGCCTCCCAAGGATTTTGACTGTCACTACAGCAAGCTTCAGTCTTGCCACTCAGCGAACCACCTCTGCTTCCCCAGACGAAAAATCGCAGATTCCTCTGAAAGCCTATTTCCTGAGATTTCATAAGGGTGGAGACTTTCGGTTACGTGCGGAGCAGGTTCTGGGGGCCTCGTGTTCAGCATGGGTATGCTGATTAACTTAACTGGGACAGTCTTCTTTTTATTTTATCTCACCCTGTTGCCCAGACTGGAGTGTGGTGTTGTGATCTCAGTTCAGTGAAACCACTACCTCCCAGGTACAAGCCATTCTCATGCCTCAGCCTCTTGAGTAGCTGAGATCACAGGCACCCACCTCCACACCCAGCTAACTTTATTTTTAGTGGAGACAGGATTTCACCATGTTGGCCAGGCTGGTCTTGAACTCCTGACCTCAAGCGCCCCACCTGCCTTGGCCTCCCAAAGTGCTGGGAATACAGCATGCGCCACCACGCCTGGCCATGTGTGACAGTCTTTACACAATATGGGCCCATATCCAGTCATCAAGACCTGCACCTGGTCAGTGAAATACTTTTAAAAATAGATAACTGAAGATATTATTTATGGGTATAGTAAGCATTTCTCATTGTGGACTTATGAAAATACATTTGCAATATTAGAAGAATGGAGGTGATTTTTTTCAGCGTAAGCGTGCCGGCTACCCTCAGCCTTCCTTCTCTCATTCATTCATTTGACAGTTATTCATTGAGCACCTACTATGTGTGAAACACTAGCAATACCGTAGTCAACTGAAAGTGGCAGCTTCCACCAGTTAGGACGTCAGTGACTCTGAGCAGATGGGACAGCACGGGGGGTAAGGGAGCACATGACAGGGCGGACAGTGGGGGGAAGCCGGCGGTCAGGGAACGCTTCCTGCAAAGCCAGCGGTCTGTGCACCAGCTCAACTTCAGCCACCCCCACCCGCGTCGTGATGCGTCACGCAGCCAGACGCCATCTGCATTCTTCAAATCGAATCAATATTTAATGTTACTTTTAAAGAAAATATCTCAACTGTAAATGAAAAACAAGTATCACTTGTCAGATAAATGAACGCAACATAAAACAATGCTGCTAAATATTAATGCTCTTTAAATTTTCATAGAAACAGACCTGTTTGCTCTGTTAAAAAAGAAAGCAAGCACGAAAACATGGAAACAGTGTGCTTGGCCAAGCGGACTTCCTCCGCGGTCTCATCAGAGGGACAGAGAGGCACTCGGAAGCTCAGAGCTGTGTTTCTGCCACGGTGCTTCTACTCTTATCTAGATAAAGTCCTCTCTTGTGGCATGTGTGGTCATTCAGAGCAGGGCATCAGCAATAGTGGCCATCAGCCACTTGTGACTGTTTACATGTAAACTAATCTGTAACTAATTTTATAGAAGTAAACATTCAGGGCCTCGGTCACACCTGCCACACGTCAAGGGCTCCGTGGCTGCCTGGGGCCATGGTTGCCATAAGACAGTGCTGAATGCTGATCTCAAAAACCAACGGGGGTGTGGGTCCCCTGCAGAGGACAAGTGCCCCAGCCTTTTCTCCGGGTTTAAAAGCTGAGCAGAGGTCAGGGAATGTAATGAGTCACTCCTGGACAGGTAGAGAAAACACGGCACGCTGGAAAAGGCATGGAAACAGGTATTCTCCAAGCCTCCATTCTAATATCATTCCAGCTCTGTTAGAAGACCATCTGCGTAATCGTGGACAAGAATTCTTAATTCTGCAGGCCTCAGTTTCCCTGTAGACATAAAATAAGAGCTTACATTTACTGAGCACTTACTATGCACCCGTTGTGTCTGGCGTGCCATCTAACATACAAAAAGCCCCACAGAACCTGCGCTGTGGTGGCCGGGCTTGCTGGCTCCACATTTGCGATGGACTAAGTTGTATTTCCCTGCCCCGCCCCACCCCATTCAGATGTCGAAGCCTTAACCACCAGTGAGATTAAGATTAAATGACATCGTGATGGCAGGACATAATGTGATTGGGCTGCTTTCCTTATACAAAGAGGAAAGACAGCAGGGATGTACAGAGAAGAGGCCATCTGAGGGCTCAAGGAGGAGGTACGGTCTGCAGGCCTCAGGAGGCCTCCAGGGAAACCAACCCTGCAGGTGCCTCGCTCCTGGGCTTCCAGCCCCCAGCACCGTGAGAAACAGACTTCGGATGTTTGAGCCACCTGATCTGTGGTACTCTGTGACGGCAGCCCCAGCAGACCAGTACAACCGTCAGCAGAAATCCTATTTCCTGAACTCATCCAGGGCCCAGCACCAAGAAAATGAAGCATCTATGACCCAAAAGACCAAAACAAATACCTCTTTCTCAGCTGAGATGGCCCCGAAGCTTAGGGAAATAAAAGTTAGCTGGGACCCAGGGTTCGAGGCCTGGCTGGCTCGGCAGCTGTCTAAATTCCTACGCTGCAAGAAAACTCACACTCTTGCTAAACTCCCAAGCAACAGGAGCTGTGGAGGAGGGCTAACTCCTCCCAGCTCTCAATTACAACCCAGACCATGCACCTCCGACGGGGCGGAGGACCACACTCTTTTCAGATAAGCGACTGTAGACATCACGTCAGTTTCGGCTTATCTGAGGCCTGTTTAGCTTAGGCGTTGAGTGCTGGGGTTCACCTTTTGATGAAAGAGCCAATTCCACCTCATTCTAACAGCAAAACCCTGCCCTGCAGTGCACATGGAGGATGCTACAGCTACGTCTACTCACTGCGCATGTGGGGGACTCCCCTTGGAGGGAAGGGCAGCTTTTCCCCCAACCTGAATGCACGCAACTCCCTGACTCCCTGTGTAACGTGGACCCTGTGAGGCGTAAAAACCACCTGCCCTCCCCTCTTCAGAGACAGTATCCTCAGCACATGCCAGAGCCTCCCTCTTCCTGCTCTGCAGGCTGATACCACCAATAAAGTTCTCCTTTCTACCACGAAGCCCTCCCGGTGGGCTTCTGGATGACACATCACGGATAAGCCATCTGCCACAATCCGGTCCCTGTCTGGTAGTGGCCACGTGAGCTCAATCTGGTCAGGGAGATGTCATGGAAAGTCTGACTGATGCGAGTCTGGGTTCCATCCATCCCTTTCTTCCTTCTTGGGGTGCTCTCACAGGAGAGCTATGGCAGCTACTCTGTAACCGTGAGAGAAAGGCCCAGAGCATGCAAGAGAGGAGCCAAGACCCCTGACACAATGGAGAGCCAGATTCCCCTGGCAGCCTCCTCCTGCAGACTGCCCATGACGTGGGCAGCTAAGCGTCTTTGTCATCACAGCCATGATTATGTGGACATTCTGTTTCTGAATGGCTTTGATCTTCCAGATGAAGACCCCCATGGCTGGAGGAGTCAGGGGACTTGCCCACTTGTGGTTTGTAACCAGCCAGGACGTACACCCGGGCCTGAGAATGCCAGTCCCCACTCTGGGTGTGAGCCGCCTTGCATGGGAGCGCGTACAGAGGGTATGCACGACCTGATATCTACAGCGTCTATAAGCTCCCGAGAGTCAGCTTTCCCCAGGCCCTGGGTTATTCCCAGTCCCTCCTGTTGTCCGATTTTAGCTCTTTATAGCACCAAGGACATTTCCACTAGAATATACATGATCGGAAATTAGACATAAACCACAAACTGGCTGAAGTCTTCCTTACGAGCCCAGCTCCAAGGTTTTGCTCCTGTGAAGGACGAATCCTGACCGTGTTACCTTTGTCTCCCATGAGGCTTCCCTGGCACACAGATGTCCAACAAACCTCTGCCCAGTTAACGGAGGGGAATAAGCGAATGGCAGGTTCTGCCTGAACTGAGACCAGGACCCACAGAACCGCCGCCATGACCGGATACCAGGATGGTGCTGGGGGGAGGGTGGAAGCCCAGCATTTAGGCTTTTAAAACTGTCCCCAATGAGGACATGTGCACAGGCACCTTTAAGCCTAAACTTTAGAAATCTAGCATGACTTGAGACCCCGGCTGGCCATCTGTCTCTCTCTCAGGGACCCAGAAGTATCAGGGAAAGTGCCCATATCTCTTGATCTTTACGGGGCCCACTCCCAGCCTGTGCCCACCAGGAGGGGGGTGTGGGCCCAGCCCGCACTCACCTGCTTGCCGAGTTCAGAGCCTTTCAGGAAGTCGTCCACCGAGGCGCCCCTCCTCTTGAAGCCAGGGGAGTCGTAGACGTCCTCCTCGTCAGAGGCAGCGTACTGGCCCGCACTGCTTCTCTCTAGGAAGACGCTCCTTTTCTCTAACTTGGAAAGAGAAAGGAGGCGCGCAGGTGAGCTGGGGCTCTCGGGAGGCCGCTGTCAGCCAGCTCAGCCCCGCCTACACTCGCCAAACCTCTAGCACCCTCAGCGCCTGGCCAGGGACCCCCCCACACACTGCTCTGGGCCCAGCTCTGCCCGCCTCTCCCTGCCCCATACCCACCAGAATCTCTTTTTTTTTTTTTTTTTTGAGACAGAGTCTTACTCTGTGTCCAGGCTGGAGTGCAGTGGCACGATCATAACTCGCTACAACCTCGCTTCCCAGGTTCAAGCGATTCTCCTGCCTCAGCCTCTCAAGTAGCTGGAACTACAGCTGCCCACCACCACGCCCGGCCAAATTTTGTATTTTTAGTGGAGACGGGGTTTCACCATGTTGGCGAAGCTGGTCTCGAACTCCTGAGCTCAGGTGATCCTCCCACCTCAGCCTCCCAAAGTGCTGTGATTACAGGCATGAGCCACCGAGCACAGCCTTTTTTTACCCTTTGAGGTAACATTTGGATACGATGACACCTCACTCCCTCGCTGGTCCCCTTTGCCTGCCTTTGTTAATACTTTGATTGATTCACATTTGCCTGAAGCACAGGACTTGGAAGTGTCTGCTTTCTTCCTCACCCCAGGCTTCCGTGCCCTCACAGCCTTCTTGGGGACCTGGGACTGGAGTGGAGCAGAGCCTACAGGGCGGCTGCCACCCTGTCCTGCCCAGGGCCTCCCCAGAAGCACCACTTCCCTAGCTCGGGCCTGGGCTCCTGCCCCATGAGCCAGTCAGAGCCACAGTGAACTCACTCATTCTGAAGGGTTTCTGTAGACAAAGGCCACACATCCATGTCTGATGTTTTTATTAGTGGCCAACATTGAATTAATTAGGGAATTTCACAAAAGAGTCGGGATTTCCAGTTTTTCAAGAGATGCCAAGGTGCTGCTAGGGCAGGCCCTCTCCAGAAGACAGCAGGGGTGGGAGGGGGCTCCCTGCCCAGCATCACCCTCATCCTCTCTGTCCTCCTAAAGGCACCTGGACTGCTCAGCACTGACCTCCCAGGGTGCATGTCCTGCCTCAGTTTCCCTGACCTGGCCCCCAGCCCAGAGGCAGGCTCACAGGAGGACGGTGTAGGTCCCATGAGACCTACAGGCTGCTGACCCAGCAGGGCGAGGGCCTCACCAGGGCCGTGCTGCTGCCTCAAAGGTGGAAACGGCTCCACACACCAGGAGAGACAAGAGTGGGCTCTGGGTGGGGGTGCGGGCAAGCGGTCTGCCCCCAGCTGCACGTCAACTACCCCTGCCCTGCATGGGAGGCATTCCTCTGCCTCTGCAGGCAGTGTCTCCAAAATGCATGTTCCACTGCATATATCATCTGGAACACAGCCCTACCACCATCCAAAGGCTCTCTCCTGGACCCAGCAAAGTTGGATTGTTGCAAATATGTACACAGGTACCTATACACCCATATGTGTTTCTACACCTAAGTAGAGATGCTGCATATGTGAGGATGCATACAGATACGTCTACCTACGGGTGTTCGTCCATATATGCATATGCACATCAGTGATGTGTGTATGCATTTACACACACACACACACACACACACACACACACACACACTGTATCCCGGACTCTGAAACTAGCAGAACTAGGAAGCACCCAGTTCAGGAAGGTAGGTCCTGGCCGACTCCACTGGGCAACTCAGACCCTTTGCCACACACTGAGGCCCAAGTCTGGGTGTTTCTGAGCCCGCTCTCTAAGCCAGGCGGGCACCTGGCATTTCCTTAGTTATCTGGCTACATACTGGGTCTCGAGCTCCTGAGTTCAGGTGATCTGCCAGCGTCAGCCTCCCAAAGTGCTGAGAGCACAGTAAATAAAAAACACCGTTTAACTCAATCAGGATCAGGCACACGATGGGGTCTGCCAGCAAAGCTCCCTCTACGAGCTGGGGAGATGATGGGGCCATCCCACGGGGCGGGGGGACTGAGGAGCCATCAAGGCAGGAGCCCCAGCCTTACCCTGCTGCTCTCGGCCACCCTCTGTGCGGCCTCCCGGGCCATGGCCTTGGCGACTGTGGTGGACACGGGGGTGCCCTGTGGCTGCGGCAGGATGCGGCTGGGTGAGGGCGACCGCCTTCCGGGGCCCACGGGCGGCTCCAGCGTGTGCCCGTGCACAGGGCCGGGTGCGCGGCTCTGCTCCCAGGCCTCGTCCATCCTGGCGTGGGGACGCAGGTGCTCGTCTTTGGTATCGGGGACTCCAGCACTTGCTAATGGCTTCGATGGGGGTGCAGATCTCGGGTGGGGAGTAGGAGGCACCAGGAGCTCGGGGGGAACGGCAGCGACAGCGGAGTCCATGGACTCGCCTTGGGCGGAGAAGGTCCGCACGGTCACGCCCTTGGCCTCCAAGCTCCGCAGTCGCACGAGCTCCACGGCTGTGCTGTCTGCCGTGGGGAAGATGACCTCAGCCACCTGTGGACAGACAGAGCTGGCTCGCCGGGTGCCCGAGATGAGCCCCCCGAGATGAGTCCTGCGTGGGGAGCCGGCCAGTCCTCAGGCCAGATGCCCGGTGCAAAGGATCATGCCCAGTGCCCCCAACTCCAACAACCCTGCCAGGTATGAAAGCTCCAGGAAGGGGTCGGCGGCAGGCTCATAGACCTCAGGCCCCAACAGTGGTAGGAGTTCCCAGGGAGGCCAGTGACGTCAACCATTTATCTCCCATCCTCTGGACCCATTCTGGGTGGATGCAGGGGCCAGAGAGCAGAGTAGTGTCGGGTTTATTCCTGCCACAGCTGGAAGGAAGAGAGGGGCTCAGGCAGAGGCCAACGTGCCCTGGTAAGAGAGGGCAGGGCTGAGGGCTCCCCTGCAGGGGCCAGGCCATGCTGGGGCTTCCCCCGTCAGAGCACAGGGGTCTGCAGGAGGCAGCTCAGGCAGGTGCACTGCCTCTGTTTCCAAGTCACCCCTGCTCCTGCAGGCACAGCTGGGTATGCTGAGGAGCAGCTGTTTTCCCAAGCCCTCCCCAAGGGCAGACGCTCCTACTTCACACCAGGCAGGGGTGGGGGCTGGTGTCCTTGGTTCCCTACACCAGGCACCAGGGAAATACCCATTTTTTGGAGTCAAGGCCTGGTCACCTGTTAACGTGCAGACCCGGCAGTATTCAAGGAGGGACATGACTTCGGCCATTGGTAGCATCTTGCTAAGGCTCGGTTTGTTGAAATTAATAAGCCAGTCATCAATCAAGAAGGTTCTGATACTGGAGGCCACTCTTCTGCATTTTTAGTACCCAGAGGAGGGCAGAGGAGGAGGGGAGGGAGGTAGTAGGAATGCTGGAAATGAGGAAGGAGCCCTGGGGCAGGGTGGGTGGTGCTTCCTACCTGCTGGTGGAGTCTTTGGGGCTGAGGGTGCCTTCAGTGATCACCGCTGGAAGAGCGGGCCCTGCCTCCTCCACTGGGCAAATATCAGGCCAGTCCCTGCTGCATTAGCACCTAACAAGGCCCACCGCCCAACAAAAACTCACCCTCTGCCCTTTGGCATACACGCCGTAGCCGGTAACGTTTGCCCCGTTGGACAGCCCGGTGGGTGTCAGCACGGGTGGTTTCCAGGAGACCCGGATGGTGGCTGGGGTCGCCCCAGCCTGGACAGTGACGTCTTGTGGGGGTGCTGGGGGTCCTGGGAGGGACAGAAGGGAACGGAGCCGTTCAGGGCCTGGCCCTGGCGGGTGAGCCGTGACTGGGCTCTGCCCATCTCACCTGGAAATGAGAGCATTCAGTAAAGTCACCTGAGAAAGAGAACAGTGTTGAAACAAATCAGAAACTGGTGATGCGGGAGGGTAGGGGCGGGGCACAGTTACCAGGACATACAGCTGCACTTCTTTAAATTCGGCATTTAGTCACCATCTTCTGGAGAACGCAAGCCTGGATTGCCTGTGGAACCATCTTACCCACTCTCGGCCTGTGTGACCTGACAGAGCTACCTCTGCCCAGGGGTCTCAGGCCTGGCCAGGCAGCCACACGATTAGCTCAGAGGGGGGCTAACAAGATGCCAGCATGTCGCGGGTAAAACGGAAGAGAGATTTGGGCCAGAAGCAATCCCTGCCAGCCCCTCGTGCTCTCACCTTCTCTGCCCCTTTCCTCTCCCTCTCCCCTCTGCCTGGACCTATTACCCATTTTACCACCCCATCAAATTGAGCAAAACGGAAAGACGAAGGGAGACCAGATCAGATGACGCAGGTGAACCTGAAAATCCACTTCTGTGTGTTTGCGTACGTGTGTGTGAATGTGTATGTGTGTGTGAATGTGTATGTGTGAATGTATGTATGTGTATACATGAATATAATTGTGTATGTGTGATGTGTATGGGTAGGTACATGTGTATATGCATGTATGTACATATGTGTATAGATGTAAGTGTATGTGTGTATGTATGTATCTGTGTATAGATGTACATGCCTGTGAGTCAATGTATGTGTATATGTGGGTGTGTATATGTGGGCACATGCATATGTGTGTATGTGGGAGTATGAGAATATATGTGTGTGTGTATGTGTATGTGGGTATATGTGTGTATGTGGGTGTATGTGTATACATATGTGTGTATATGTGTCTGTATATATGTGTATATGTGGGTGTGTGTATGTGTACTTGTGTATGTGTATGTGGGTATATGTGTGTTATGTGTATGTGGGTATATGTGTGAATATGGGTGTATGTGTGTACACATGTGTGTATATGCGTCTGTGTATGTGTATATGTAGGTGTATGTGTACTTGTGTATGTGTACTTGTGTATGTGTATGTGTATGTGAATGTGTGTATATGTGTGCGTGCCTGTGAGAGTGTCTGTGGGTGTGTATCTGTATTTGTGCATGTGAGTGTATGTATGTGGGTCTGTGGGGGTATCTGTGTATGTGTATATGACATGTGGTTGTATATGGGTTTGTCTGTGGGTCTGTGGGGGTGTCTGTGGCTGTCTGTGTATGTGTATATGTGCATGTGGGTGTGTGGATCTGTGGGGGTATATGTGTATATGTGCATGTGGGTATATGTGGGTGTGTGTCCATGGGAGTGTCTGTGTATGTGTACATGTGGGTGCATGTATGTGAGTCTGTGGAAGTGTATTTGTGCATGTGGGCATATGTGGGGGTGTATGTATGTGCATTTGGGTGTGCATGTGTATATGTGCATGTGAGTATATGTGGGTGTGTGCCTGTGGGGGTGCCTGTGTATGAGTGCATGTATGTGGGTCTGTGTGTGTATTTGTGCACGTGGTCATATGCGGGTGGGCGTATGTGTCTGTGGGAGTTTCTGTGTATTTGTGCATGTGGGCGTATGTGGGTATGTGTATGTGGGTCTGTGGGGGTGTCTGTGTATGTGTATTTGTGCATGTGGGCGTATGTGGGTATATGTGAGTCTGTGGGGGTGTCTGTGGGTGTATGTGGGTGTATGTATGTATGTGGGGTGTGTGTGTACGTGTATTTGTGCATGTAGGTATATGTGGATATATGTGGGTCTGTGGGGGTGTCTGTGTA